TGCTCGCTGCTCCGCGAGGGGGGGGTAAATAGCCAGCACAACACCTCTTCAACACGAGTGTGCCGTGCTACAAGGCCATAGACACTTTGTGGCAAGTGTGTTATGAGGCTGCTTACACACGCGCATGGCTCGACAGGCACCTGTGTTCAAACCCCAGCAGTAACAAAAACTCATGGATCTTGATAAGATAAATCCGGGAGCGGGGCGGGGCAGCGGGCCAGCGTGGGCGCGTGGCGCGCGCGCGCGTGCGGCGGCCTTGGCCTTGGCGCGCAAGCGCTCGTGGTGGCGCCTCTCTTTTTCTCCACGTGTCACCTCCTGCACGTGCCGCTTTCAAGCGCCACGTGCTCGTGGTGGCGCCTCTCTTTTTCGCCACGTGTCACCTCCTGCATGCGCCACTAAACCCGATGTCGGGTTCTGCTATTTTCCTCAGCTGTACAGCTGTAGAACTGTACGGGGTGGTGGGTGGGAGCGGGGAACGTTCCCGCTCCAATACCAATGTAGCGGACCCACCAGGTGTGGTGCTCCGCTACGGATAGAGATGGAGATGGACGAAGAAGGGGGGGAGCGAGATGGCACAACGCAACTCCCCACACAAGACTCCAACGCACGTACTCCCAAACGTGCAAGTGAAGAATGATCCGAAAAACAGACAATGGCTGGGGTATACCCCAGCGGACTGACGGACAGGACTGGGCTGGCTGGTACCGACAGAGGTACCGGTCTGGCCTGGACTGGACTGCCCCCCAATAGAACACAGGCCTGTGAGAACAGGCCAAGCGGCTGGTCTCACAGGCCAACCAGAGGTCCTCTACATTCATGGTCCTAGGACGACAACTCGTCCCTCCGAACCCGAGTATGCACAGGGAGGACTTCACTTATATCCGCAATATCCTCCTCGGTTACAAAATATGAAGCATATAAAAAATAGAACCTTAGCTATCAAAATCCTTAGGGACATCCGCTAAAATTGGAATGATACGGAGACGATTAGCATGGCCCCCACGGAAGGAAGGATGACACAGCCTAAACCCCAGTAATAA